TGATGTTTTGTGAATAGATAAAAGTTTTGTAAATGTATAATCGATACTATCGTTTAACGTACCACGAACAAACGCCCTGTTAATCAAAATAGTTTGCTTAATGAAAGTTTGAACTAGTTTCAACTGATATGCAGTTTATTTTAGATAAACTAAATTGTTATTAGGATTCGAATGTTCGGATAACATCTGATTTAAAAGTTTTTATTCCACTTTAGTTTTTAACTGAATCAACTCGTTTCTAAGAACATGTTTTACATCCATTTATTTATAACCTTCGACGGTTTACCGCTAAATATGAACTTAAAAGAAAACCGTCAATATTTATTTACACTATGGTTTAATATTGCCATTTACACACTGATATTATTACATCGAGTAATATTAATAATCGATGAAATTTCGCAAAATAACTATTTTATTTGCGGTTATGAGGTCATATTTTAAAAGCGGATGTAAATTTGAATAAATGATAAAACGTTACCAGAATGCTTGCCGTGATAAGATTTTTTATTTTAAATCAAAGAACCGTCCAGCATTTCCACGAATCAACGTGTTAATTAGATAAGTTGTTTAATAATTCCTTGTAATACAGATAGGAAATGAATGAAATAAATTCTATCATAAACATTCCAGAGATTTGTAAAACCAGTTTGGATCGTTAATTACAACATAATATTATATCAACAAAGATAAATTAATTAAGTTAAAAAATTGATGAATATCTATCATGTGAATTTCTCGACGTAATTTATGTTTACCTATAACGTTTAAAGTATAGTTAAAATTCCTGTTTGATTACAAATTCTTATCGAATATTTTTGTCAGTTATGATACGTGTTATGATTTCATCATATTAGAATGCACTCTATTTGTAGATAACTCTTTTCTGGAAATTTTTCAACTGTCCAACCCTTGATAAATGTCGATAAAAACTACAAAAGTAACGTTACGCTTCGTCGGTTTTTAGCGCATGTCAATCTTTTGATGACTATGTGAAATATAAAATAATACAAAAAAGAATCCGTCCGATAACATCCCAATGTGACACATATGTACCAATAGCCAGCAATTCATACACCGTTTAATTGAACTCTCCCTGCGCTGGTGATGATGTTCAAATATCGATTTCGATTTTATGATTTTTTTTTGATGGGCAAGTAATAAATTTTGTAAAGTGCAATTTATAAAAGATTACATATGTTACAAAGCGTTCATTAATTAAATTTGTTATTTTCTTTATATGTTGTTGTATATTTTTATTGAATTAAAAGTAGAATTAACAGTAGACCTAGAACTAGAAGCATGCCGTCTTAACAGACGCACGGCTAAACCCGAAACTTTCAAGTTGTTGTATATTTTGAACACTGCGAACTTGTTTCTGAAGATGGTTATAGTGATTGTGTTAGTGTAGTTTGTTAGTTCAATATAATATACTAAGTAGTAATAATTGTGTAAATAATATCTATTTCGCGCTTTAGTGAAAACGCTTCAGTAATAATGACCATGAAAAATTCGTCCATATCTCAGCTTATGATTCAAATGGATTAGTGCAGGTGTATAATTTTGCTATTGTTAGTCTGCTCTCGACGTAAATTGGTCTGTTACGGAATCGTTGAAGATGTACCTTTGACGCAGAAACGTGACGTTATTACAGCCGTCACGAAACGAACGAAAAGGCTTCGTGCTATTTTCGTGTTTCCACACATATACTTTACAATTATGTTGAGCGGCAGTTTTCATTGTGATCGTGTTCTCTCGAAGTATTAAATGGGATTAATATCCTACACTAATCACATTAATCGTACCTTTGTGCCGCAAAATTCCACCATTCCATTCTTGTTTATTTTATTTTCATATCGTTTCTCATAATTTATGATTAATTTTTAATTTTGAAATAGTAGTTGATGTTAAGGCATTAATATTAAATCAATTTGATTTCATAAAGATACGCTTTCCAGTTTCAACAAATTTTAACGGAAATCTCTAAATAGCATCTGCGTATAACCCAGTAAAAGCTCGGTAAATGTCAAAGGTGAACTGCGCGGGGACCGTGCTCCCGGATTGCTCGATGCTACTCCCTGCCAACCGGCAGGATCCTCCTGTCTCTATTCGACTCTGTAGTTTCGTTGGCCAGGGAAACCTGACGGACAGTTAGAGTCGATAGTTTTCACGGACTTTTAAAAATTCAAATTTATGTAAATTGCCCCGAATTTTATTTCATTTAATTTTCTTTTGACATTTAAAACAAACTCATTTTCTTTTGCACAATCAAATAACTTGATCGAAAAAGTTATCGGAATCAAATTTAAGGTACTTACAATTAATAGGAAAGATAGATTTTTGGAAATACGAATGTTTTTAATTAAAAATATGGTATCGTAAAAAAGAGGACAAAATGGGTTTACGCATTTCAAGCTTAATGACTACAAAAAACGTAACGCGTTGAAAAAAATGAAACGCAAACACAGCGTTTGTATATTAAAATAAAAGGCACAAACTGAAAATTTTTAATTAAAAAATTGGTAAAACTTATTTTGCTGAATAAGCGATCGATTTAACAATATAAAAAAAAATTAATAACTTAACATAGATTTTTTTGATAGCATACAAAATTTAATACTAACATATAAATATCTGCTGTTCTAAAAAAGTTGTTCTTTTTTTTTGTTTGTTCTATCTAAATAAATTATAAAGTAGTGGATTACCACTACTTTACAATTATCATTATCATAGCTATTATCATTAGATAATGTTAATGTCAAATTGTCATTTTTGGATACCTATGGTGATACCTATGTATCCTATGGCTACTTCTTGGTATTGCTCATAAAACTCTCCCTTCAAGCTTAAATAAGTCGATAACAGACAAAGTTTTCGTCAGGGACTTCCACAGCGTCCTTTACAAGTACTTTCTACCGGTCTACACAAAATGTGTTGAATCCTTAACATGTGAGTCTGTGTGTTCCTGTAAATGGCAACAAAACTTTGGCGAGGTGTTTCGTTAGCTTATATGTAGGTGAGATTTTTGGGAAACCACAGATTCTTGGTATCGTCCTAACTATTTAATCCACGAAAGGCGATGCATATAAGCAGTGTGCATTATTTAATACGTAAATTGTTTAAATTTTTTATTAAGGTTTGAGAATATCCCCCCCCCCCCTTATAGAGGTTGTAACTTGACGATTCTAATCAAAAATTCTACTCTAATAAAACGCAATTAATCGCCAACATTATTTAAAGTAGCCACCATAAAGGCTGTATGTCTTTGTTAATATATTCAGAAGAAAATATTGTCAAACATTACATATGATTGCGGAAAAAGAAGCTTGAAACGACGCGACATTCAAAACACACCAAATATTGTTATGACTAAAAACGCTATACTGGGTAATTCAAATTCGACCCCCACGATAAAAAAAAATAAAAAAAACATTGGCGTACATAAGAAAAAATAAACCTGATGATAGTTTTACGAAAACGAAACGTCGGAGAAAATTTCTAGTTGTGTTATGACATTTTTCAAAAAAAGTTGCCTTACGAATGTTTTTTCAGATTCACGAAAAAACCACAATAAAGAAGTTATAGGCAAAAAACGAAAGTCTTTTTTTTGTTTTTGGTCATATTTTAAAATGCAACTTTGCCCCCATTTAACCATTTCTGTATCTCTTATGGTTTCTGACATCCCAATGGTGGGGGTGGACTTTGAATTATCCTGTATTACTATGTGCCTTAACAGTTTAAAACAATTTTTTGAATACTATAAAAAGATTGTTTCATTTAAATGCATTCAACATTTTTAATGTCATTCGGGATATAATTACATAATTAAACGCGTAACTAGCTTTAATGTTACGATTAAAATACAGAGTGATCCAGTAGATATGCGAAGGACTTTTCAAGATCACTTTTGATAAAAAACTGCTGTCCTTTATCATTCCTTATCGATGTAATTTTATTATTATAATTTTGAAGACTTAATAAGAAGATAAAGCGAAGTTATCGAAATATTTAGATGTGTTTGAATTATGAAATCTCATTGATGAAGAAACTTTCTAATTCTAGGTCTAGTGTTAGTATTATACAATTAAGATCTCAAAATTAAAGCAAAAACGGTCAATTACCATTTATACCTACTTACAATTTCTACTTATTGTCATCTCTAGAGGCGTCTCAGATCCTCTATTAGGTGAATTACAAAATAACCACGTCTTTTAATTGAAATATCCACTGATAGATGGTGTCTAAATTGAGTGTAGATCACTCCAAATTTATTAATTGGTTTAGTTGAATGCGTTTTACAAGTTCTTTTTTGTATCTTCAAAGATTAAGGACGCAAAATATAATTAAAAATCATAAGAAATTAATCATATGAAAAACTAAACCAAATATCTTGGTAATTTTAAGAATTTTTATGAATTAAATTTAAATAAACACCGATTTAAAAATGCCACATTTCCTAAAATTTGTACATAAATTATTTATGATAAACGATAAAACATGAAATAACTTCCTTGTTCTAAACTTAATCAAAACGTAACGGTTACACCGATATATTTATACCTTTACAGAAATTTACCAAGGCCACCAAGTAAATGGATTTTAAACTAATTCCCTTAGTAAAAATAGAAATGTAAATCTTATAAAGTGTCATTGAAAACTGAGAACGTTTAATTCAAAAAAAAACAAACAATTGAAAAGTTTCAAAATCAAATGGCCTTATTTACTCAAAACATAACCTAATAAAACACTACATCAAAAATTAACCTACCTTTAATTTAAAACCATAGTCACAGTAAATCATTATTGGTAAACAATTATTATTTTAAAAAAATCAACTATCAACGCACGTATCGAGACAACAACTAATCACAAATAAATCGCAAGAACACTAGATAAATCGAAAACAGTATGTCCAACCGTTATATGGTGACTTTCCTATTAAAAAACACAGAAATCGTAGTGTTTTTTTCGCGTCATTGTTGGCGATCAATAACCACATCGGTTTTGGGTGTATTTGTTTATTTCAACGTTTTAAATGTCGATAACTGATTTTGTGTGATATTTTTTAAATGTTTTTGTACGAGTGTCGGCCACGATGCACGTTAAAAGACGGTTCTACGCCCAAATTCTTCTATTACCTGTCGTTTGCATCGGTAAGTAGTAACCTAAAAATGAATAAAGTGAAAAAAATGGCTATAAAAAAAACAACAACGAAGGTCGTTATTCTAACTGCTAATTATCATTTCCTTTTATATGAAATGTAGCTATTGACACAAAATATGTGGATATTTATCAGAATATTACCATTGAATGTCCTCTAAATCAAAGCAATGGGATTATGTGGGAAAGGGATACTGGAGATATTTCCGAGAAGCCCCCTTTCATAACGCTTGAGGATGGCTCGTTGTTTTTGGAGAATGTTACTAAAAATGATTCTGGTGAATATAGATGTTCAGAAGAAAATTCAGCTGTGAAATATAATATTCAAGTTGTTGTTAAAAGTAAGAGTAGAAAATGATGATGAAAAAAGATATAGGTACATGTCATTTAAAATTAGATAGCAACATTTATATTATTATGTTCTAAGCTTGTTAAAGTATTTTTTTTAATATTTTTCTTATTGATTGATACTGTGTTTAAGATTAAGATCCTCAAGTTGATGCAGGGTAACCTCAGAGGACACCTCGAAATCCTCAAGGTGCCATGTCTAAATCACCTGATTGAAATTAAAACAGACCTTATACCAACAGAATACAATTTCAACCAGCCCTATAAGGTCATATTTAGAAGCATGGATGATTGGGCGAAGGGTGGGCCTCAACTAAAAAGAGGAGCCCTAGCCTGGTACACCGATGCTTCAAAGACAGTTAGATCCGGAGTAGGTATGGGCATCAGTGGACCAAATAGCCACATTAAACTGCCCCTCAGCTTGGACATAACAATTTTCCAAGCAGAAGTTCTTGTTATAAACTTTTGCACCGCCTTGAACCTACAGAAGGGACAGAAAGGTGCATCCATAAACATTTTCACAGACAGTCGGGCCGCCTTAAAGGCAATTCAGGCCTACATGTGTGACTCTGCACTGATCAGATAGTGTACCCACAACCTGAGAGAACTCGCTAGGGGCAATGATGTTACCCTATGGTGGGTTCCAGCTCACAGCAACATTATGAACAATGAGAAGGCGGACAAGCTGGCCAGAGAGGCAGCAAACACGCTCTTCATTGGACCCCAACCTGGTTGTGGACTACAAAAAAGCCACCTAAAACAAATAATCAACAGTTGGGAGGTCTCAAAGGTAGGCTTATGCTGGAAAGAACTTCCAGGTCACAGACAAGCCAAGAGTATGATAACTCCGTCGCAAAACAAAACCAAAGAGATTTTATGCCTCAGCAAAGGGGATCTAAGAACGCTCTCAGGTTACCTGATAGGCCATGCGCCCCTAAAATACCACCTCTTCTACATTGGACAAGCTGAGGATCAGACTTGTCAACTTTGCAACGACGAGTCAGAAACAGCTGAACATATATTATGCAATTGCGTCGCCAGAGGCCGTCTAAGACACAAAACTGTCGGTAAAACTCTGTTGACACCTACCGACATAAAGTTTCAAGACCTCAGGGCAATACTAAGGTTCATCAAGGACCTACATTTGCCCTAAACTTTTGGAGGGCTAAAGTTACAATAGTTCTTATAGGTCGCGGTAACGAGAGGAGCCGCTCCCCTCAGCCTGGCAGCAATAATAATAATAATAAAGATTAAGATCGGAATGGGTGGAGTTTAGTGAGGTGTTGAGTCAAAATTTTTGGTCAAAACATTGATGTTCTTTGGGAATGAATATAAGCAAAACATGGAATACAATTATTGTATGTGTAAGAAAGTTAAAATTAAAATTGTTACCATTACTTAATTAGATGTTGAGATGCAAGGTGAAGTGAATCATAATTATTTTATTTATATTTTCATGAAAATTTTCACAAAATCTCGAGGTATAACAGAAAATGATTGAATTTTTCTGTAAGAGAAATAAAGAAAAAAAAAAGTAGTTATGAAAACGTCACATTCTCAAAAATACTTTTAATAAGCTTAGCTTCCTAGATTTTACAATCGAAACTGAGAAAGACAGTATCAATTTTGTAGATCTAAAAATGTGTAAAGACTTGGATAATTATAATGAATTTAATTTATAACCTTTGCTATCTAACTTCTGAATAACCTGTATAATATAGGTTAATTTATATTATAATAACATAACACTCTTTTTTTAACTTTATTAGCACCACCACCTGCTTTGCCGTTTTATGTACATCCAAGTACAATTCTAGCTTATTTAATATGGCAATTAAATGGTACCGGCGGCTATCCGATAACTTTTTTCACCGCTGAATATAGATTAATGAACGAATCGAATTGGACGTCTATCGCACCCACTCATTTAAGTCCTAATTTAGTAAGTTTCATTTTAATTTAAGTTTTTTTTTCTTATTAAAAAAATTATTTCTTAGCGGAGATTAGAGGTTTACAAGCTTGAGCCTAACACAACATATGCCTTCCGCATGTGGGCAGGAAACAAGTTGGGTCCTGGTGTTAAAAGTGAAGTTATAAATACCACTTTACATATATATACTGAGAAACGTAAGTTTTAATCATTGACAATTTTGAAAATTACTAAAAAAGTAATTCATTTAAATTTATGTATTTTGTAAAATATTCATTGGTGATTTGACAGATATCCTTTGATTTCCTAGCACTATTTCCTACTTATGTCTATTAATTTTGACCTAATCACTATTAGTTTCAATGAATGCTGAATTAGTAGTATCCTTATCACATTAGCTATTTTTTAGTTACTTTAACTAGTTTTGTGTCCTAAATACCCCAAAAAAGTAACTAAAATTTTTAGAACTTGCCGCTCGTTTACTAGCTGGGGCGCAGACTTTCGACACCCGGATATGGATAATAGCGGTGGCGATCGTGATGGGCACGTTAACCGTTCTCGGTCTTGGAACGTGCCTACTTTTGTACCAAGAGTGCCGCACAGGTGGTAAGTGGATTGAGGTTCGTGTACTCTTGCCATTATTCCTAATTTGCTCTAGTTACTTTTTTCTTTAAACTTTCCCCTATGTACCAAAATTACGTAACGTTGTTTTCACCACAATCATTTTCCACTACAATAATTATTTTTACACTTTTGCTTGACAACCCTCTTTCTCCGTTCAGTAAAGGTAGGCTGCTTTTCTAATCGCTAACGTGTTGTAGATTTTGATAATTGATGTCGATATGTTTTCGTTGTTTTTTGTGTGTCGATTTGTGCTTACATGTCTAAAGGGATTGAAAAAAAACTTACCTTTAAATGAAGATGTTGGAAGATAATGTGTTGAGTATTTCTTGGGATTTGTAGATTTTTTTATAGACATTTACGAGATGACACAAACACTGATAAATTTTGAAAACAAACTGAAGTATTAATTATTTTTACTTGTCATTTAGAAAATACAAGATCACTCAGATAACTGTTGTGGTTAATGCATCAAGAAACAGCTTACCCCTTTCAAAACAATTTCATTCCCTGTTGTATTATCTATTTTCTATATTATAGAAGTATTTTAGATATGAATTCATAAATATTATTTCGGAAGTAGGAGCTTAGAAATGGTGATGTGCTCAAGTATATCTCTTATATGTAGATCGTTCTTTAAGTTCGAACGCGTTGTGTTTTGAAAATTGTTTAATTAAGTTGAATGTTTTGATTGAGACCATTTTTTATTGTTTTCCAGTACTTTAAGGCTAAAATCAAGCATATTATGTTGCTAATATTAACACTTTAGTTGAAGGGTTAGGATGAACATTTAGAAATAGCTGGAGAACATCAAAAATTCCTAGATTCTATGGAAAGCCTTAGGATGTGTACAAGAATTGACGTCTTGGCGCTCTATCTGCCGCTCGCGAGCATTTTTAGTCAGTGCGCAACGTGACTAAAACATTCTCTGGTCTGTCCAAACTTGCGTACGGCAGAATTATTTCATGCGAACGCCGCGTACGTGTTGCTTTATATTTGGACACAGCTTTAGAAATTCTCTGAAATGTAAAAAATTTCTGACTCATAAAATTCTAATTAACCTTGCAAACTTTTATATATTCCTTGAAATTATTAAAAATTTGGCATGCGTCTAGAAATCTTTAACTATATAATACTCCTATAAACTTATAATCATTCTCATAATGCCAAGAATACTTATACATAATCGTAGTGTATATCTTAGGTTGACCTCCGAAATATTTAAAACATCGCGCAGTTATCTGATAATAACGTACATTTCTGAGCGACAAACTCAAGAAATGATTCAACATTAATGAATGAAAACTGATTTCATTACGCGTATTTGACCAATTGTGTGCTAGGTTATTTAGGAGCGTCAGATGAATCGGAAGAAATGGAACACTTTTATGTAATATCCTAAACCAGCAACCTCAAATTTCAATTTAAAACACAAACTATGTCACGGCTTTAAAGATTTTTATTAAATACAAAACTAAATCATTTACCCTATAGTCGCTATAAAACCCTCTTAAATTGATTTAATTGGTCTCATTGTAAATTTCAACTTAATATTAAAAATAATATTTGCATGGGTACTAATATGTATAAATTTCGCATGTAATTGATTTATTTGATATAAAGGAATAGCCTTGAAATGTAAAATTAGAAACTTGAAATTGAATATTATCTGCATAATTTGCAGTAGAAGACGAGCAGGAAGTAATAGAATTAGTACCGAATATAATATTAAACCCCGGATTTGAGGGCAACATGCAAGCGGATCAAATGCCCGCAGACGAAAATTGCAACAATGAAACGCCAGTGCGCCTTAACAACAACACCGTTGTTCAGCCTAGAATTTCTTAGAAGTAGCCTAACAATTTAGTTTCCGGACGAGGAAACGCACCAACGACTACAAGTATAATAGGTAGATTGCAATAGAAGAAACTAAGAAAGAAACAACTAATTTTAAAGGTAGCTTAAAGAATCAATTTTTTTAACACCACGGTTACTAAAAACTAAAAAAGTAAATGTAGCGTAAACATCTAACAAACGGTAAATAAAATTAAAAATTCGCGCATTTTCAAAGATTAAAAAAAACTGTGCATTTTGATAACGTGGCCTTTTACATAACGCTAATTTGTTATATTACTACATACGTTACGTAAAGCGAGTAAGTTGGACGTTAAGGGGTTAAAAAAGATCGTTTGATTAAAAAAAAGGTCTCCCAGGCCTTTTTTAATTAAGTATTATATACGGTACGTACGTGCGCAGTTCAATTTCATAGAGTTGTGTAAATTGTGATAATTTCTAGTCATACTTTTAGATCTTTAAAAAAACGGTTGTCATATCAGGTATTATACAAAGTGTGGGAAGTGATGGGTATGATGGTTGTAGGTATTTTGCGATATTACAAGGTACAATGTAATTTTTGGCTTCCCGTTTATAACGTAAAAGCACAAGAATTTTTTATTTGACTTATTTAAATGTGTATAGACACTTTCAAGTATCATAATCATTCAAGTACATAAAACTTGTTTAAATATAAACACAAAAACTCAAAAAATTTAATGCAGTACTAAAACCGTTCTATACACTTAAAAAAATAAGTTAAATAAATGGACGGTATTTTTGTAGACATGAAAAATATAACGAATCTCACACGTTCTTTATGTAGTTGACACAAAGAAAAAAAAATTCGATTGTTAAACGCAATAGTAAACTAAAATAGTGACATGAAGTAGAATGTTTTCGTGAACTCGAAAATGAGAAAGAAAAGAAAAACGACGAGTTCACGATACAAACTAGTTACTGATTATGGTTGTAATTTTTGAATCGTGCCTCTTTAAAATGTAGCGAACGAGGAGAACAACAATTAGCTTGACGTAACACAAAAACGTAAAATGCAGATTACAAGAAAAAAAATATCGAAGCAGAAATAATAATATACATATAGCTCAAAGAAGTTGCTTGTTTGATGCAATAATTTTTGTACGAGTATGGTTTTAAAGTGTATGTTAAAATAAATTGTCAGTGCCTAAATAGTTTTATACATGATATTTTAAAAAACTCTAGCTTTCGAGCACGTTAAGGATAATTGTAAAAATAATAATGAGATAAAAAAAAACGAGATTTATCGATAAATTGTGGTATAAACAAAAAGTAATCAAATCATCTGACTGTATTAACCCATTTGTATCATAAGTTCTGATATCTGTGGTCTTTTTTCTGGCCATTATCATCGCGCGATTATTTACACAATTATTACTACTTTTATTATAATTAATATATTATATATACATATTCAAAATATACAACAACTTGGGACTGAATCACATCTAAAACTAGAGTTAACACTAGCGCTAGAACTAAAAGTAGACCTAGAACTGGAAACATTCTTGTTTAGCTGCCTTGAAAGACGTGCTGCTGAAACCCGAATACTTCTAGTTCTAGTTTTAGTTCAATAAAAATATACAACAACATAGCAGTAAATAATTACTATAGTCTGTTTTTAAACCAGGAGGAGCATTTTAAATTTCTCACCAAATTGACCTTGCACGTGATTGGTTGAATGCGAGGAAGGTTCACACACAGGCAATTTTGAATTTGACAGTTTCATTTTATTTTATTTTATTTACTTTTGTAAAATTATATTTTAAAATAAATACACTCATAACTTCAATGTTAATTTGTATGTTTAGTGTTAACGATAACAAACGAAAAGAAATACACTAATAAGCAATAAAATAAAAAAATAATTATTAATTTAAGTTTACCGCTAAAATATCTAGTGATATTTTCTGGTGATATTTCCTAGTGTAAATCTAACTTTCGGATTCACTTCTCCTGGTTTAAAAACAGACTATAATAAGAGCACTGTCATTAAAACTAGCACTAAACCTAGAACTAGAAACACTCGGGTTTAGGAATTTTGAAAGACGCATGTCTAAACCATTTATGCTATAATTATAATTCATACACATGTATAGTATAATAAAAAAAATTTGGTGACATGGGCCATTTCTTCTTTTATATGTCATCTGTTTTGAATGATGCAAATGGGTTAACGTAAATTTCACATTTTTCTGGTTGATTTATTTTTAATTCATTAACATTTATGGTCAACAAGCTGTGCAATTTTCTGATATTAATCGCGCAATAACTTTTTCAACATTTAACACCACTTTATAATCATTATTCCTTCTATTTAAATACTCAAGCGATTCAGGTAAAAGAAAACAAAAATAAGTTATAAACCAAAGAGAAAGTTTTTTACTTTCCCCTTTAAATCTTAATAAAAAGTACTATTATACAGAGGCTATATTTGTCTATTTATATCTCGAAATTGCAATACACCCAAGTTTGCGTAAAAGATGTATGTTTCAGTACAAATATTAAAGCAACACTAAAAAAATATTATCGAGAAAAATATAAAGATCATATCGTAATAACCTCAACTTTAATAAAAATAAACTCTTTACGCAAACTTGTGTTTACTCTTTACGACTAGTATATGCACCAAAGTATTTTATATATCTTTGTTCAGAAAAAGAAATCCAATATATGTTATTTTGTAGTGTCCTGTAATTTATATCGTACGGTATTTTCCGTATTACTGTGTGTTTTCGTCGAAACGATATGCTTCCAATCATTTCGCTTTGCTTCGGCTTTAGTAATGTGCGCGAGTATATACGTATATTTTAAACATATATCGGGAATTATACATCTTATCACGTTTTTTTATTCGTTACCGTGTTCTTTTTGTGATTTACTGTGGTTGTATTTATCAAGATTGCATTTTATTTTTCATTGTTTTCCATTTTGTTATTGTAATTTTTGAAAATAAAAACAATTTTTAGTTTATTGGGTTTTTATTGTATTTCCAATACTACATGTTTTTTTTTTCAGTTAAGGTATAGACATTTTATACTGAATTTGCCGACAAATGTCTTGGGCCAGCATATTTGCTGAAATTACGCTGAAGCAATAATTAGTGGTGGTTGTATTACATTATGACATATAAACTGATAACGGTGTATTTAAGAATTATATGTTTGGTTGTCTAACTAGGTTATGTTAAATCTAACAATCTGGAACTAGTGAGAATCTTTACATTGATTAATGTTTGTTATCATTTTAAATCTGCTATCTTTGGGAAGGAGTAATTCTATTTCAGTTTCAATGTATAGGTAATCCAATATTCACACTTTAATTCCTTTGAATAATGATATTAATAGTTTGTACTATCTGGAAATCTAAATGTGAACTGTACGCACTTTACAAAGAAAACTGGTGTTAGAAGTTCGCTTTTAAGCTTTGTGAAGCTCATTCAAATGGAGGTAGATGGTATGGTACTATTGAGAGAAAGTTGTGATATGTACTGGCTGATTACACTTCCATTTGTATGCATGCTCGTATATCGCCAAAATCATACGATGTAAATTACCTTGAGCATAGTTTTTTCGAAAGTCTCAAACAACTACATTTTTTCTCATTAATTCGGCCTGGCAAGAAAGCTGGCGATCCTGCTGTCACAAATATAAGAGTCCTTTAGAACCTCGACGGATCTGTGCAATACAAGCTAAAGTTTAGTGATGTGCACATTTACCTTGCTGAATAATAAACTATTTACAGTGTACATCAATCAGACGGCCGGGTGCTGCATTCAATTTCCTATCTCTCAACGCCTGTTGCATGCCTTCATACCATGATCACGGACGCCCTCTCTACTTTTTCCTTCCTAGTGGTGGCCATTGGTATATTTGTTTGGGCCATCACTCCTCTGTTATGCATAGCAGATGACCAAACCATCTCAAACCGCCCATTTTAACCTTATGTATGACAATTTGTTTCTAATGTCTGGTCAATACCATTATTGTCGATAATGCCTAAGTTTTTAAGTTCTTCTACTTGACGAATTATATTTTTATCATCTATAAAAATTTCATATTGGGCAACCGTCAACTTCTCAATGTCCAAGCTTTCAAACTTCTCAATTCTGATTTTCAATTCTCATTTGATGTGTTCTGTGTGCAGTCTTTAACATAAACGCTATGTCATGTACGTCCTATACTATAGTTGCTTAATCGTCAACTGTCAACTCAATGTGCACAAATGTATATTATTAATCGAAATGTCCATACCTTAGCATCTCTTTCACTCGTTTTGATTTGTTATTAACGTAAGTATTTTTTCACTTTAAAATATAGAACGTCTTTTTTATGAAGTCTTTATTCTCATTTAACATCATTTCTCTTGTTTCATGCTTTCATTTCCATGATATTTAACTAATAAGAAAATCTCGTAAGTTTCCTCGTGTCACCGCCGACAATGTATCGATGTAACCTGTCCAACCAGATTGAAACAAGTATAATGTTGAATTATTTATTATGTTATTTGTTAAATATTTAAGAAATAACGTTATTTTTTTTTTTTTCATATTTGTTAATAATTAAAATAATTTATTTCTTTGCCGTAATTAAAGTTAATAATTTGCAACATTGCAAATTAGATGCTAATAGGTGCTAAAATCATTAATTTTTAACGAATCATCAGTAACAAGAAAACATCTTATCTAAATTATGACAGATCCTATATCAACATATATTTACAGAAGTTATCTTTCTTTCTAACGACGACAAAAACAATTTGTTTGCCTACTCACATCCCCACTCTTACTACAAACTTCTCCCACCCACCATAACACTTCATGGTTTAAGTCAGTTACATTTTGCTGTCTTCGAAGATGGAATCTCGAAAACTTACGTATTTTCCTCTACCAGCATTAGGTGAACCTATAAAATATCTTTTGGTTTATAGTAACATTGATTTTGAGGACATTAAAATTCCTTTAATGACATGGATGGAAGTTAAAAATGGTATGTATCATTTTTTACAATTTATGTATCACACGTTATCTATGTATCAATTTCAAAGATTTTCCATTCGGACAATTACCAATCTACGAAGAAAATGGAAAAGTGGTGAACCAAAGTGTAGCCATTATGAGGTACTTGGGGAAAAAATGTAAGTTAAATGGGAATAATGATTGGGAAGATCTTGAAATTGATGCTATAGCTGATACTATAAAGGATCTCATTAACAGTAAGTTAAAAAATGAATTTAAGATTGAGATTTGAGTTTTGTATTGTTAATTATATAATAATCGCAGAGCTTATTGGAGGTCATTACACAAAAAGTGCATCTCAACAAAAGTTGCTTCAAGAATCAATCTTAAATGATACGTTACCTTTTTATATGAAAAAATTGGACGTGGTTGCCAAAGAAAATAATGGTCATATGGCTTGTAAAAGGGTAATAATTTATTAAATAGGTTTATAGATTGATTAATTTTTAAATTTATAATATTTTAGTTGACTTGGGTTGATTTTTACGTAGCGGGGGCTCTTAATTATTTTTTTTCATTCCCATTTATAAAAAAGGACTTATGGGAAGAAAATCCACACTTAAAAGCTGTTAGAGAAAACGTTCTCATGTTGCCTTCCATTAAGGATTTTCGCCAAAAAAATCCAGAGGATCAAAAGGCCATTATGGATTGGTTCCAATTTTCAGGAAAACCTACTTTACCCTGAATAAATTGCAATTAAAACTTTTAATCATTACTTAAATAACTCTTAATACGTAAATAAAAATAAATTGTGATGTTTTATTTTATTTTATCATAAGTTAAATTCATACTGTAGAAAACTGAATACTGTTTAATTAATATTCAACGTTGATTCAATGCCCCACCACACTCACTATCATTGCCACTAATCTATAAATTAACAGTCAAGGTTACACTGTAGTGTACAATTTCAGTTCGAGTGTATCAAGAATCATATTGCGTGTAAACGTTCAGATAAAAATGACCTCGATTAAAGTACGTTATTTTGATATACCGGCAAGAGGCGAGCCAATTCGTCTTCTTTTAGTTTATGGCGGAGAAGATTTTGAAAATGATAAAGTTGACGTTCGAAAATGGCCCGAAATAAAACAAAGTATGTTATATAGATATCTACGATATCATTAAATCAAAACTATTAAAATTTTAGCCTTGACCTTCGGACAAGTTCCTGTTTATGAAGAGAACGGCCATATTATTAACCAAACTACAGCTATTATACGTTATTTGGGACGAAAATACAAATTGGGAGGAAATACTGAGTGGGAAAGCTTGGAAATTGACTCAGTCGCTGATAATTATATTGATTTTCAACAAAGTATGTTATTTTTGGTTTTCTATTTTGCCGGATATACATATTAATTTAATACTTTACGTTTAGAAATCCTGCAATGGCATTATATAAAAAGCGCCAATAAAAAGAAAGAATGCAGAGAGGTTTTGGTAAACGAAACGATTCCATTTTATCTGGAAAGAATGGAAAAAATAGCAAAGGAAAATGGAGGTCATCTAGCACTTAAAAGAGTAGGTTATCTTAACGTTTATACATAGATCACTTACTGAAATCAATGAATATAATTTTAATTTAATTTTGATTGATTCTATCAATTATTTCACGTTAATCCTAGGAATTAGCTGCTAAATGATTTTTTAAATGACTCAACAAACTAAATCAAAACAATTTTATTGATTTGTTAACTATTTAAACTAATCTCAACATTTTAATTCTTATTCAGTTCTGTATTGAACTTGTATCATAAGGTTATAATAATAATTGTAACTTTATGTATTTGCTATCAGCTATTTGAATGGTTCCAACCATTTTTGGTATCATATTAATCGTCATTAAAAAACGAAAAAAATTATCGAAAACATCATGAGTTAATGTGTCATAACCCTAATTAATGTTCATCGTCGATTTGGTACCAATTTTCGATACGGTACCAACCTATTTTATAACAATACCATCCTTTTGGTAACTTTTTGGTGATAAAGTTTTGGTGCTAGATATTTGTAACTTTAATAATAAAACTATTTTTTTTTTTTTTTAGTTGACTTGGGCTGACTTTTTCTTTGCGGGCATGATAGATTATTTCTCATGGATGGCAGACTTGGATTTATTAAAAAATTATCCTAGTTTAAAAGCAGTTAAAGAAAACGTTTTAAATTTACCAATGATCAAAAAATGGTATGAAAATAATCCTGTTAATATGGAAGTATCAAAGTTTATTTTGGAGTTTACAGGAAAATGTACTGAGGATTAAAATGAAACTGAATAAATAATGTATTTCTATTCTATTTGAACTTTATTGGCATTTTAATTATTTCTACATAGCTCATTTTTAAACGTCAAATTCGACGTTTCGAGGTTAAATTGTTTTGGCATTTAAACGTCAAAATGATTATTACATCGAATTGAATTAACTTTAATCATAATACACTTTTTTCTTATAAGAATGTAAGTTAATTCGATTTGTAAATATGCGTATTAAGTTGCCTACTTAGCAGTTCATTTACTGTTGAGTTTCAGTCGAATTCAACCTAATCGTACACCTAGCGCCGCCATTTCGACTGAACTACCATGTAAACATATCAACCGTTCCTACCGATAGCGGCAGTGCGATCGCAACCTCCGTGTGCCGTATATCGTGTCTTCGCGCTAATCAGATTTACACCTGACCGTATAACATCATACACACACACCGTGTGTGACCTTAAAAACAAGTGACACGCCGATCATATGGTTGCTGTTATGAAGTTCTTCAACGTGAATTAAAAGACGACCCTTTCGACAAAGATCTCGCCTTATTGGAACATATTCATCGAGGTAAGTTAACAAGTGAAGATCTCTTCTCGGATTTAAAAATTGTCGTCGACGTCGAGTATTGATTTGTCGGCGACGACGGCTTATCTGTCCAGACGCGATGTTTAGCCGGGGGCAGTTGATATTTTTTTTTTATTTCCTTGCGGTAATTAAATATAGACTTGGTTCAATTTAAATGGTTCGTAGGATGGTGGAGTTTTGCTGTTAAGTCGCTACTCCAGTATTGATTAAACAAGTGTTTCGGACGTTGTTGTCATTTTAAGATATTCTTGAACGTGATTTTTACGATTTTACATGTTTGATAGTAAGATTGATGGAAAAATTGAAGAATGTTCTCTTTACGTATTATTCTATAAATATTGGTAGGTAGGAATTAGATTATGAGGTACTCATAACATGGTTAATAGAAGACATGCTGCTGATAGAATACAAAGTTTACGTTCGGATTAGGGAAACCTTTGAATTACAATACAAAATGAACTAATTGTCGAGGTTGTACTTTTTAAATCTATTGAATTCTAAAAAATTATTTTGAGGCGCCACAATATCTTTGATCAATTTTAGGTTGATATAATCTTAATTACTGAGCCTCGGTCGTAAGCGACCTCGGCTTAATTAATCCAGTATACATATGTTATTGATGTTTATTTTCGTCATTTCTGTAAGGTTTTTGATACGAACTACTTCATCTATCATCATTACTTGCATATATTTCAAGTAATAAGTTGTGCAACGTTCATTTCCATTAAGATTCTTTTCTTATCCACAAAATATTGTCAGATTACTTATTTTTTCTGGAAAATTATGATCAATATTATATTCAATCTCTTCATTAAGCCTTATGTCAATTTTTGATTGATCTAAGCAAATTGCTATTTAAATTATAAATATTTTTTATTCCTTGATCGTCGCCTGCAGAATCTTTATTTATAAAAGCATTGCAATAATAATGTTTTATTACACACTATGTAGAATTCGGACGATGGTTTCTAAAGAAAAATCGATCGAGTGGTAATAAAATTTAGTTAAAGTTCAAATAATGATACAATTTATTTGTACTTCCCAGATCAATCCTTCGGATTTAAGATTAAACCAAACTTATCATTTATCGTATTCATTCTCGGTATACATAACATTCCCCGCAGATCGTGAATTTACCAAGAAAGTTTATATTTCCACAATTCCCCAGTATACGATGACGTTTCAAGGATACTTGAATATTGTGTTGTATTTGTGATTTTTGGCTCCATTCCGAGACAGAATTTCATAAGGACACATAAATCACGACGAACGGTCACGTTTGTTGGTTATCGAACAAACACCACACGCTTTTCATCCTCCTCCTCTTCTACCACCTTCATCGCCTAGGCCCTTTTTCAACGCAAACGACAAATTTTATGTGACAAGTGTTTTATTGTAAACGAATGTTTGATTGATTAATAGAAATATACAAGCCATATTGGTTGATTTTCATTGTTCATTGTGTACGTGATCGTTTGTTGGACAATTTTTTAATTTATTTTAAACCATAACATTGATCCTCGTCGTATTTTCGTGTTGTTTCCATTTTTAGTTCTTATCTTGAATCGTGGTTACACTATAGTTTCTTCGTGTAAGTTGTAACGAAGAAGCTGCAGAGAATTTCATACACAAACCCGTTTAGCATTTTTTCTGTCGCCCACCCGACTGAATGTCCTTCGAATCTTCGAGTTACAGACCGTTCTTATTTTATATATAAACCCGTTCGTTATTATTATTGTCCATATCGGCGCGGGGCTGTAATTAGTCGGCTTATTACTGTCTATGGAAAACTAAAATAAGAATTATGGTAGCGGTTATCCAACGTAATCTTCCAGTTCGCCACCAATACCCCAAACGGATATAGCAGTAAATTTAACACTTCGCAGAAAACTAATAGCTTTGCCTTTGGTGAAGTTTATCTATCGCGGTTAGTTTTCCAATTTGTTATGTGCTCTATTACTGATAGAGACGTGCTGTAGTATCGGATTCTCCTTCCAGGAAGTTTGATAAACCGCAGATGTGTTTCAATTACTTTGCATTACTTTGACATAAAAAAGTGTTTTTAGAAATGTGGTCATTTTAATCTCTTCGTTAAAAGTAAACATGCGCAGGATGTTTTTTAACAGATAGAAAGAAAATATTAATCCTACATTTTTTTAATGACTGATTATTTAGAACATTTTTAACTTTCCAATAACGAAAATGAAGTAATAAATACTTATCGCTTGGTTACTTCATGAAACGAAACATTTTTGCTATTCTTTTATGAAACCATACCGATAATTACACATTCTTAAAGAACGTTAATTAAGTTAGCCCAATTCATGCAATAGCTCGATAACAACGCACGAAAATCTCTGATAAATTGTTACTTGCTGCGAAAGAAGTCGATAATCATAGTTTATTAACAATATCATAAGTCAAAAGCGTCTAATAACAACAATGAAAAAAAACCTACGCGCTATTTCCATAATTTACAATTCAAATTATCGTCTTAAAACGGGTCTGGGGCTAATGAATATCTCGCGAGATTATTGTTCTTTTACGTGGATAACATAAACTTGACACGATTATAAAGAGAAGTGAATCTATTGCAAATTGCAATGTAACGGTCGGACATACTAACCACGTTTTTTTAGTCACATTCTTTGAAGTCTCAAAGGAATTTCTTCGACGCGAACAGGTTTCGGGTGCGGATGAACAACGATGATGATTACTTTCTTCTCGGACGATTGCCGCGTAACTTAAAAAAACCAAAAGAAAAGAAGACGATTAGTCTAATTTATCAACGTCGCGTCATCTTGAGATTGCCTGATGGGACAATGGCCTTTTGCGCGGGCTGTTATTTTTTTCTTCGTCTTTTCTTTTCACGCATGCCAACGTATTGTAATTATTGTAACCATCGAGGTGTGCAATATTGATAAAGTCGTTTGTATTCGATGTAGAAAAAAGTTTACTGTGGTCGCTACATCATGTCCAACATTTTAATTAAACACAACGGGACGCTTTGGTATTTTTATTGGTATTCCTGTAACCGTTTTATAGATTTAAATGGTTTGAAAGTATTTTTTTGTTACAAAAACTTTGAAATAATATTGGTTTTTGTTTTTGTTGTACTTTTTTTTGTTGGTTTATTTATTTGACGTCATGAAAAGAGAAGAAATTCTAATAATAGAGTGAACACTTGTGTGCACTCAATACGCGCAACTAAAATTTCTATTTATATCCTTTATGATTGTTTCACAACAACACCTATACACAATAATATTTATTTACATAATTCAGAACATTAAATAAATCTAACTCATGTTTATTTAAATCATTTATTTAATCATTTGAGTTGGGAATTAAAAAAAAATAATATTAATAAGAATATTTATTGATGTACCTCAAAATAACAAAGACAAAGTAAAAAGAAATGAAAACAGAGTACACATTGAATAGATAGGAATAAAAAGGATATTGAAAATATTGTATGTGTGACAATGTTTTGACTTCACCATCCTCCGTTAAATTTATTAACCTCTTTCAAAGGTACAAAGTGTACCGATGCCGATGCTTTAAAATTAGAACAAAGTTTTACGATCCGCTCGAATTGATTTTATTTGTATTTGTTGGTTTCGTCCCGGGACCTTCTCTGACCGACTTCGTATATACTTATAGTTTCTGTGTGCACTTGCGTTACGGTTAATTTTAGTCGTCTCATCATCCAATTTAAATGCCACCATCAACGTTGTCTTCTTGGATTCGTCTTTAACGATTAAATTGACCGGTAATTACAAGTAAATTGTACCATCTAATAATCTAACTGGTACTTTCTTGGTGCTTTTCTGTCCTCTTATTTTATTAAAGAGAAATCGGAATGGCGAGGAAAGTATTTTTATTACCCTTTCGCGTATCCATTTCCAAAATAAGTAATTTTATTAAGTAAAATTCAAGTTTCTCTCTGGTATTTATATTCTCTTTTCTCCTATTTAATCGCCAATATGTGTATAAAACGGTTTCGATCGACCGAGTTTCGTATATAAAGATGTCGAATATCGCACATACATTGTCGTGGAAAACAAAATATAATCATAATTACAAGTAATTGATAAAGTTAAAAAATTGAAAGTCATTGACCTGTTGCCACTTAATTGCAGCGACATACAGACTTTCTTATCTAAAAATTAACTATCTTTTTTGTTCTTATCTCCCACTAACATGTATTTACAATTTATACACCGTATACTAGGACAACCCACATAAACAATAAAAACAACGTAAACAATAAGCCATTAATCCTAAAACTTAGAGGTTTTCTAAATTTGTAGTATAAACGACATTCGCGCGTATCTCAAGGCCTTTGTACCAGCTCATTCATACAAAGTGCACAATTCACATTTAGATGGTTGCTTACGATACAGTTAAGTCCCGTCGACCGGCATGTAATTAAACGTACACGGAAAAAGCAATTCATTACATAACTTACCAACTGTATGTATAACGCAGTTATATTAATGTTGCCGTTGTAACAGCTCATTTTACTTGTAAATTTTGTCGTGTCAACTATCATCTAGTTTAAAACTATAGGTTTAAGGGGTAATTTTTAAAGAATTTCTATTTAATTTTTGTCTTTTAAATAGATACAAACGGCTTCAATGTTCAAGTTACTTTTTTAATTGGGCATTTAAGTTTACATTAGCCAAGTTCGTGGCTATTATCGGTTTGGATCATTTCAACTTTATATATTGTAGAAAATTTTAAGGAGAAATGCTTTAGTTGGTATCAGTTGGAAAGTGATCAAATAACAATTCCATATTAGTAAATAGGAATTAGTTCCAAACAACTTTCGTTCGCACGTTCACTCGGCAAAGAAAAAAAAATACAACCTGTTTGCTTCTCTACCTCGCCTCCAAAATGAACTCTCTGCCTCCGCCGTAACCTTATTAATTGTTTAAGAAAAAAATACCGACCCACTTCTCACTCTTACTCGGAGGTCT